TGATGAATCTAATTCAGGTAGATTTGATTAAACCTAAATGATATCTTTCAGAAGCACTCAAATATTGCTACGGAGGCGGAGTGGATTGTACATATTACTCCAGATGAGACCAGCATCTAACATTTGATTGATGAAATTAAATAAAATGAAAATTGCACTTTGTCTGTAGTATATAATTTCAGCTCTCTGGAATTCAACTATTTTAACATTTAACATAGCATTTGGATTACATATTTTTCACTCACCCACTTTAGCATTGTATAAGATTTTCTTGTATAATCGGTTTTAAAGAGTCATATTTTTTTGCAAAAATGAAAGAAAATCAAACATACTTAACTGTATATGGCAGGGCAAACATCCTCATCCTTTCTCCAGGGAATTTTAAACAAATATTATGAATGTAATTCCTAATCCTTTCAACTGTCTTTCATGACCAGATGTAACTACTGTATATGTTGCAATAATGTTATTCAGCACATTTTCTGGAGACAACCTCCAGATAACCTTCATGTGGGAAGGATTGTTGTCCAGGGATCAATTAAACAAGATTGACTTATGGTTACGGCTACCATGCCTTGGTTACATGGTCACAATCACCATTGGTTAGAATGTTATAACTTGACCAGTCCCTAGTTGTTGTTTTCCACAAAGATGTTGTTTTCACATTCTTGGAATTCTCTAACAAAATGAATTCAAAACAGTTGTAATATCCAGGACTTTAATAGATCATGTCTTGGTAAATAGCACCAGTCTCTGGGGTCAGCCACACACATTAGGGTTAACCAGAATCACCACTAACAGCTATAGTGATATCACTGGTCGTATATGTCACACAAGAGATAATATATAACAAGGTGTTAAGATGCAAAATATCACCACCTGCCATTTGTTACAGATGCTGACCACTGACCGCTGAACACCAGCCACCGAACACTAACTCCCGAATGCTGACTGCCAAACACCAACTGTGAATCACCGTTCACAATAAAGATGGACATTATAACAATATTTCATAACAGATGGCAATATACACAGAAGACTTCCAAAAGCCAAAGGTAGAACATATCATATTGAATGAAGCTGGAATTCCCATTGATAAATCCAGGGTCCATATTTTGTGCAAAGTTACTTTGATATTAGCAATTACATATACATTATCAACTGACCTTTCACTGCAAACAAGACCCACAAGGGAAACCAAAGAAAAAAATATGAGAACATAGTATCATGAAACTACATAAATGGCGCTAAAAGCACGCAAGCAAACACCCAAGAAATCTGTCCTGTTAGAATTAACTCCAAGGTTTCTCCAGCCAGGAACGTTATGTCAGGGTTATCTGGACCATTAAACATCTCGGAATCAATCCCAGGCCCAACATTAACTCCTCATTTCCTCATTCCTTGGAAGCATATCAGGTGAAAGTGGCAATTTAGAGAATAGTTTATGTTATAATATAGTCCAGTATAGTTTGTAATAGTAACAACAGCCTGTAAAGTTTACCTTATCATAAAATATTTTGAAGTAGTCATCTTTTGAACCATTTTTATCAAGGAGCTTGAAATTTCTATTTAGCCAAGAGTTTTGGAGAAAAAAACCTTGCTTAAACAAACATTTTCATCTCAAAATCTAATTTTCCAAAGTAAGGTACAGTAGGTCAATATTTTTGGGGGATATTTGGGGCCTTGGACCCTCGAACATGTAGCTGATTTAATGGAGAAAGATCATTACCTGCATCTACCTCAGCCACTGTCACATATTAATCAAAAAATTAAGTTCATCAAAATTAAGATTCCCAATCAAAATGTGCAGTTACAGAATTCTAGGCCTTATATGTAGCATTAATTTCATACTCTAACTATATATATAAGGCCATGACTGCATTAGGGGCAACCTGCGCGAGGCTCAATTTTTTGGTACGTTTTTTTGCGTAAGGGAATTAAATTCATCAATCTGATTGATTCAAATAATTGAAACGCATGCACAATCAATAATTCGAGATAATTCAGGAATGCAGTACTTCCATTTATGCATATGCGCGAAAAACTGAACCAATTCAAACCGAGCCTTTCGCAGATTGGCCGTCTCCATGACTGCTACTTTTGGGGTCATAACGACCTTACCTGGGTATATTAGGCTGTCTCTGCCTGCTGCCATCTTGACAAGAATAGAATTCTGAGAATTCAATGGATTTAATAGATTTACTGAGAGTCATTTCAGAGAAGTGCCTGGACTGGTGATATTCCACTATAGTACACACAATTAGATGTTGGCTATTGGGGTTAATTTCATGATTAGAGATCACAGGCTTCTATCAGTTCCTTTCTGGATGGTATATATTGCTATTTTTGAACACAGAAAGAGACAAGGCATTAACATGCAAAATATCTCTACCTGCCATTTGTTACAGATGCCAACCACTGAAGTCATCCACAAAGAAGTTGAATACTATAACAATCTGTCATCACTTCAGGTAGTGAACAAGTGGTGACGTAATATCATCAGAATAGGGGTTTCTAGGAATCTAGGGCTTTGAACAAAATATATCAATCAATGCCTTCAGAATATCATACAACTAAAATGATCTTACTGCCTTGATTTTCAGTGTTCTAATGTTTTCTAATAACAGCTGATGGAGTGAACAAAAAGTGGGATAAACCCCAAGCATTGACACTCAGGAGAGAAAATTCAAATAAGCAAGAATCAATTCATAAGCAAGCATTCTCACTTTACCGTTTTCAATATTTCAGTTTCATGATTTTGTGTCTTAAAAGAGAGTACAGTAAATACAACTAGCCTCTGGGCTTCAGGATACACTTACACCAACCTATCATAAACTCTGACATTAGCTTATTAATTTCATTGTTTATTTAAGCTGGGAACATTAACTAGCCATATATCAAGTACATTTTGCTGGGAACATCCTCATATGTGCATTTATACATGGGTATGTCTATATCAAAAACTACTAAAATCATAGAACATGTGGTTCCTTCTCCTTCAAACTGAATGTACTGTAGTAATAAATAAAACAGAGACTCAAGTGTAGTATACTAACAATACCAGATGGCATATAAGCAGAAACAGAATCAACGCAATTGAATTATATGGAAAACAAAAATGTGTTATAGGTTTCACCTGAATTGAACCAGTATATTTGATAAACAAGAAGAGACATTGTTGAATGCTTTATAATTTATCAAGTTTTATAGATTTCAAGCATAAACATGTTTGAAAGAACTAACAAATGAATGAACACGGGTGAAATTGATACATACGGTATGTACTATTTCAAATATTTTCATCTGAAAACAGTGAAACCTGTAAAGTAGAACACCTTTAGAAGTGAAACACTTCTTATCTGTTAGTGGAACACTTTTAAGAGTCTCGAGACCAACTGACTAAATGTTAAATGAACCTCTATAAGTGGTAAACCTCACAAGTGGAATGTTTTTAAAGATTCCAAAGGTGTTCCACTTATACATATTCTTGTTTATCACTCTATAGAATTCTTGATATTATGATATTTCACGATTTTATTATGGAAAGCCCAGTTCAAGGTGACCTCTATTGTATCTAAACAAATCTTCTATTTGAATAATATGGTTTATTAATGATACAATTCACTTCAGAGAACATAAATATGCTTTGATCTCAGAGCAATCTTGGCTGCCCAGCCATATACCTACCACACTAGAATAAAGTTATAAACGTGACAAAATGTCACTACAATGTATATGGAAAAAAATGACATACTGCAGACAATAAGTACATTTACTCAAGAAAATATTCTTAATGTTAGTATGTATGTTGAGACTGAAATAACATTGGAGGCAAAACTATCCTGGGAGTAAAGAAGCCTAGGGTAGTAAATACATGTGGCATTCTTATATGGGAGAAAAACTAAACTATTAGATTAGAAAGGGTAGTTATACGGCAATACTGATATTAGACTAAGAATATAAAATTGGGAATGGTTAACACAAATTTTTTGTTCATTATGAACAATATAATTGTGTTTACTTTTGTTTTTTTATTTGTCATATGAACATCACAATTTTTTCAGAACATAATCCACTTTTTCAAGTAGGCTGCTAAAAATAGAGCTCAAAAGTTTGTTGTTAATAGGTTACAGTAACTTGGACATTTTTCATTAAATTATATTGGTTTTAGTTTCATTTTATTTCTAAATATTTCCAAATTTGATATTTTTTAACCTTTTATACAGAAAAGTAATGTCATTGTAAAATTGAAGATTGAAAGTTCTATTTTATGATCATTTCAAAGTTTGATTGACAGGTCTATTTTCATACCTGGGGTGAAATTGATGACCTATGTATGTATAAGATCAAGGTCAGACTGACCAGGTTATTTTCGAAGACAATTTAAAAAAAACAGATTAATTGCTAAAAGTGGTCAGTTCTACCCTTCATTTCTAAATTAAAATACATTTCTAGCAAAAATGTAATATGGTATGAACATGAAAGGTTAAGATTTGAAAGCAATATAATAATACTAATTGTGCGAGGACGTTCATTCAAAGAAGATCCCAAAACAACCTCCTTTCCACATCATTGCTTACTATTTCAATCACATTCCTGAATAATCAATTTAAAGACACCCAATACTCAAATATATAAAAAAGAAACTGTTCAAATGAGTTGTTGTCACATTACAGTAAATAACATTCAATAGATGTGTCATTATGATCACTTAAGCAGTGTTGATGGACCACATAGCAATCATGAGGTTACATACTTTAACTGTGAAATTGAATGAACAAATACCAACAAGTTCGACAATCTCAAAAACATACCAAAAATCCAATTTTAATGAATTAATGAACCTGAAAGCGTAGACATTCTTATAATAAATATATTTTGTATCATCACTATGTTAAATTTCTCAAACTTACAAAAATAAATATTATGTCCACAAAGTCTCTGGTTCTCCTCGTTTGACTTTTCTTAGTAGCCCATGTATACCAAACTACATTACTTACCTAACACAATGTTTTTCTGACCAGGAATGTTGCTATGGTGACTCCGTTGTGTGCTGTCTGTATGATTGTAGTTTGTTCCCTGGCCACCAGAGGACTGAGTCGTAGTATAGGCGGAGCCACCAAGTACTAAGTCATTGTCATAATCACTCTCCTGATCGCTTTCCTCTGTAAAATCTATAAAAATAACTTCAGTTTAATGTTTTGTTTTAGCTTAATCCAATCACTCCTCCAATGTACCTTTTTAAAGCAAGCAAATACAAATGATAATCAATTATTATCTATGAAAAATATCCATCTCCAGTATTCTCTTATCATGGGTATTTCTTCAAGTCCACACTCATATCTATTGTTTGATGTGTTATCCAAGGTTGCCTTTATCCGTGAGAAATGATTCTTCAAGGTGGTCTCATTTTCCGATTTTGATTCCATTCGTTCTTGGAACAATCCCTTCAGCTAAACTGATCGAGACTTACCGCAACATCAATATTTACCGAACCCTCCCAAACAAAAGTCCGCATATGTTACATCAGGAAATCTCATGTAAAAAAAAAACTGAACAACTTCCCCATGAGTACACAATACAAAGAACTTCAACTAAAAATATATAATCCATAATCTATCTATGTTTTTATGACGCGATAAGCTGAATGAGGTTTGGTTGGCATAGTTTTTTTCTAGAACGATCATTCTACAGAAGAAAATTCATGAGGAGAATTAGCTGGCTTCAAAGAAGCGTAATTTAGGTCAAGTTTATTTCCATATGTATAGCAGATAGTGCCACATTTATAACTGATAATCTCATAGAAAGAACATCAGTTATCTGAAACATGTGCACTTTGAAGTCCCGATCTCCGCACCTTGTTCCGTTCTTTTGTGACCTTGACCTTGACCCCTATGGCGCAAACACTAACATAGTTCACAGACTTCATGAGATTTCATTGCAAATTCAGCAACATAAAATATGATCAGGAGATCAGGAGATTAGCAGTTAACAGTTCCAGTAATTTTTTTACCAAAATATTGTTTTCGAGGAATTTAGCAACTGTTTCAGTGTAAAAATCATAATTTTCTTAAAAAATGTGCCTTTTGTTTCCGTTTCATTTTGATGCTGCCAGAAGTTTGAACAATAAAACCCCTGTCTGATCCAAATGGATGTAATCTACCACAATGCAATGTATGTTTCTAATCAATGTCATCATTGTTTTCTTATGCAGTTCTGAACTTTTCACCTTATCAGATTTCATAAGTGCTTATGAATTAACAAGTAGAGTACAACAAGACAGGCTAACATTCTAATCACTTGTGCTTATTGAAAAAGTAATAATTGATAAAAGTATACAAACAACCATATGGTGTTACAAGTAGATATAGTGAAAAATATGCAATTTTTTCAAAAACATACGATTTTCCAAAGTAGGCTTCGTCTTTAGAAATGAGGCCTTTAATAAACGGGGAGGAATGCTCAATTTAAGAGGCCAAAATGTTCAGAAAGGTTCATATAAGAACTCCAAGGAGTAAATAATCTGCGTTCAGACGACATTTACATCCAGGCCAACAAATCTATTGGCTGGGTAAAAGGAGGAAACGTGCGTTTCCTGGTTGTTCCATTGAGTCCAAATCGAAAACATTTTCTAACAAATTACAATTTCTAGAACAACGAATATCTAAGTAGAGTAATTATTTTCAAAAAAAATGTTCACAAAAAGTTCCTCGTTCAGAATATCAGACAACAATAACCAAGTCCAATTTTAGTACTAACTGCAATACTGTTCAACAGGGTCACCAATTATAACAATTAATTTATATTTAAACATCTCCTAATTTGACATGAATGATCTTTCCCTTGAGGCAATATTTGACATTACATTCAGTTTTGATCATGTGTTTAAGTCCCACATACTTATCTTGCATTCATAGCCCCTGTGTTGCATTTCCCTAGATAACAGAAAGGGTAGGGGGTGACATGAGACCCGGCATGAGACTTAGCATGAACATACTATAACATTTATGTAGTCTCGCATTAAGCCTGCTTGTTATTGCTCTCATTCTCTCTCTTACAAACAGGATGTTATCCTACACAGGATATTGTCTTCTACAGTGTGTTATATCATATACTTATAGGATATCCTATGATTTTGAGGAATATCATTTTTATCTACGAGGTGATATTGATATCTGCACGAGAGAGCGAAGCGAACGAGTGCATATATCAATATCAGCGAGTAGATTAAAATGATATTCTGAAAAAATCATAGGATGTTCTTATTATCCTACACTTACAAGGAGTGTACTGAATGTATAATATCATTGTAAAATTAATTCCATGCCAAATAGTGTCAATTTGGCGGGAAATCAACAAGCGGAGTATATCGTCACAATATCCTCCGCATATTGGGTTTTCCGGAGTATATCGTCACGATATCCTCCGCCCGGAGTATATCGTTACGATATCCTCCGGATATTCATTTTGCCAATAAATATCAAATTTATTTTTTCATGTTATTATACATTTAGTACACTAAGTGTAGGATAAAAGGTGTTATCCTACACAGTATGTTATCTTAAACAGGGTGTTACCATACACAGAGTATTTATTATCCTACACAGGATGTTACATTAAATAGTGTGTTGTCATACACATGTAGTTATCCATACTGGGTTTTATCTAATATATGGTACTTCCCCACACAGGATGTTATCCCACACATAATGTTATCCCACACAAAATGTTATCTTACCTGATGACTGATGTTCATGGTTATTACTCTGAAGCCAGATATTGTTGTGAAAGTGTGGACTCTGAGGATCCCCTTGTCTGGAGTTCCCTCCTTGCATCAGAGATGTGATATCACATAACATGGCAATATCCTGGTCTGAAACAACAAACAAAAACAACATCACAATAAGTATTATGAAAGTAAGGACTCGGAGAATCCCTGTGTCTTGAGTTCCCTCCTTGCATCAGAGAGGTGATATCACATAACATTGCTTCAACCCCTCTATTCATTCCCCTCTTTGTGGAGGTTGGGACAACTGGGACATGTAAATGAGAGGTCATAAGGACATGATGCAAAAAAATATCTTTCCAATGGAACCTCAAATTTGTACCCATTTGGAGGCAGAGTATGTGTCTAAGATCATAAGGATCTGATCCAAGACTAGGTATTTATAATGGTACATCACACTTGTGTCATTCTGATTATTTACCTGCATAGCTTCACCTAGTCAAGCACTTGGGCTTGATTGAGACTCTGTAGTTTTAGCAATAAATGGAGGATGCCTGGTGATGCTTTTATTAAACACTAGATTCTAACCCTCTTTTCCATTGAAAGGGTAAGAACTGTAGATACCAACATGACAAAAACAATGATTAAATCATAGATTCAATTCAAAAGCCCACAATTTATTATAAATTAAAACAAATTCATTGTTGATTATATGAAGTCATTTAATAAGTTTAACTCAACACCTGATTATATGGATGCCCCAATCAGAAATCACACATGAAAGAAACAAATATAACACATATTAAACACTTCAATAGTACAGTATATATGTTAATAATGAGTTTCAAGTTTACATTTACAATAGTGCTCCCAGTCAATTTGTTGAGTTGAGTATATGTATGATGCCTTGAAGCAAATTGTGTCAAAAAGTTACATTAATAAATAAAATATAATTTCATTAACTTAAATTCATGCACTAAATTAAAAGACCATGTACCAACATACTGAAGTGTGCAGATGAAACATGGCATGCTGAAAATTGTTTGATAATTGGTGACACATATTTCCAAAATATGGGGACTGTAAAGTACATGTACATTATTTTTAGTACACGTAATTGGGTTAAAAATGTTGAAAAAGGTATGACAATCAATGTACTCTACAATCACAGTGATCTCCCCAGCATTAAAGCAAGTAAGCGCAGTACCCACCTGAGATATTAAAAACAGGCTTGCACCCACCTGAAAATCAATTTGCACCCACTTGAAAATGAGAAAAATCATAAAAATGGGCATATTTGACCAATTTCAGTGTGAATTGGGAAAATGAGAATTATGCACCCACTTGAGAAAAAAAAACCTGGGGAGATCACTGAATCATATGACTTGTCCTTTTACTGCCCTTTCCTGAACTCCACTTCTTTAAGTCAACTACATGTATCTATTAATATAAGACATGAAATAATTTTTACCCTTTTGTATAATACCAATTTTATTTGAACTTCTTAATACTGGTCCAGGTTATTTTATGAAAGGTTTCGGGTACTTGTCATTCGTTATTTTTTAAGGAAATCCTTTATTATATTTACTTAATTTGCTTGCATCTCTAAAACAAATATGGGGAAAAATAAATTTCTGAGTGATGTACTGATATAATAATTGTTACTCTACCATTCTGTTGTGCTCGTTTTGTAAGACGTCCTTTTACATTATTCATCTTTAGATATTAACAGATATGTCCTCTTTCTCCAATATTACATATATTTTTCATTCACAATATCCAAATGATAATCCAAAAATGTATCCTTCATATATTTCGCCTTTTTATCATTTATACTTCCTAATGTCATGCAGGAAGGCACATTATTAGATCCTAAAAATCCCCAAATCATCAAAACTATCAAATTTTTCTATTTCTTCTTATCTTGTGTCACTATACTAACAATGTACAACAAAAATACATGACAAAAGCTACCATTAGTAAAAGCCAAGTCAAGCCGGGTCAATTTAACATATTGATACCTTGCAGCACGTGAGTATACTAAATTAGTGAAACCTCCAAAGGCATATTACAAAAACTCTATGTTTATTTTTACCATTAATTAGTTCGCTTTTGATGTGGTAATTACCAGAAATTCAGCCAGGGGACTTCTCTGTGTAATAGACAATATCAAAGCAAAAATAAATGGTTGAAAGTTAAAATCTGCGGATGTGAACACCTTCCTTGTGCAGGTGGATGAAAATATGAACACTCTTCATAGAAAATTTCCATTATCACAATCTTTACTATACTTTGTAAGGTCTTCACATGACAAATGTGAACGACTAACAAATATGTTATGATTTTCCTTCTAAAGGAGAGCTTCGTGTAGTTACTGTATTAGCCTTTTTGGGCCTGAGGGTAATTTTATACATGCTGATGCTAAATTCAAAAATTAATTTTTAAATTCTGATGTCACTGTATATGAAAGGACATTTAGCCAATCTTCCCAGACCATTAAAAGATTATTTTGTTAATTCAATGTTTACTAGTTGTTGTCGATTGTTACTGCAGAAACTATGCGCTTGTGTGAACAAACAATTCAAGAAACTCCACCCAAACATGGGAAACAGTATAGTGGAAAAAACAAAAACAAAAACTTGGTATGTTTACAAAAATAGACTTCATATTATGTTGCCATGGTGACAAGTAATACATTCCATTTGTTTTCATTTACAACTGTACATAATAATAGTGGTTTAAATAGTGCTAATGGTTAAGATATTTATTATAATTGGAAAGATATTTGGAAAATAACCTATTACTAGAAGTTTGTTAAGTTTTATAGTGCTTTAGATACTGTATATGGTAGATACTCAATCTAAGAAACGTCTAAATATAGCCAAAATGTCTAAAAATATCAGAGGTAGTACATATGTCATAGTAACCATTTTGTTGATTTTTCTATGTAATACTACTTTATCAAGATCGATATATGAATTAATCAGAACCAATAAAAACGAAACTAGAACATATTCAAGAGGTTCATTTTGCAAGCTTGTTTTGGAAATCAAAATAACTAATTCATGAATAAGAGAAGACAATAACTGTGTTAGATAAACATGTGTCAGATCTTTGTATTGTTTTGAAATTTTAAGATGAACATATCACCAGGAACTTGAGGGTGAAACATTCCAGATATAAGTTATAGAGTGTTACAATATGGTATCTCTGAACTTTCAATAATGGCACCATTGATATCTTGTCTGGCTGGATCATATCGACATCCATTGTTGTTTTTTACATAACAACCTTTCAACATCTATAATAATAATAATGACATAGTAAGTGATTTCATAATGATGTGAGTCAAATTGAACAAAATGATTAAAAAAGGTCTAAGATTGTAATGATGATTGTTATATGGGTAAATTTTGGAGTTGTACGGTTAAGAAGATCGGTCAAATGTTCAACTGTCTGTCAAATAAATAAAACACAGAATAAATACTAAATCAAGGAAGGGTACTAAAGCATGACTGTTCAAATTATGTTTTAACCTGAGCATCCAAATCCTAACACCCCCTCCCTCAAAATGACTGTTTATACATGGCATTGGGTAACACAGCTAGTGTTTACCAATCATTCCACTCACAGACATAATAAGAACTGCATTGTTTTGATCCAATCTCTCAATGATTTACATAAATGAAATTCTACTCAACATATTTTATGTTTTACATCATTACTGCATAACAATAGTCTTGCTTCAAGACCACACCTACTACATTAGCAACTGGCTGTTGAAGTAGATATGAGGGGGGTCCAGGGTCTTAGAGCAAGACTATGAAACAATTATATTTTTCTCCAATAATATAATAAAAAAATTCGTAATATCTTTGAATTTTGTTAAATTGTGATCTGGGAGAACTTTTGATAATGCAATCATTGCAGCAGGCATAATCTATCAGTGGCCATACAAGATAAGCAAGACTAATCGGGACACCTGTCCACCTGCCCAGCAAACTGATTACAATATAGCACCCAGGGGTGCAATATAAAACAAAACATTGACTTCTGTGATCCTGTATGTTCTAGCTTGTAATTTCCCAATATAAGGACTTACCTATAGTTGTTGGATTGTCCTTGATATTGGTGGTTATGGTAGACAATCCATGTTCATGTTGGGTAACCACTATGCCATCAGTCCTGACCTTATTGCTTGATTTCATTTGGTTTGACGTCCATTTCATCATATTTGGTCTGTTATGTCTGAAAGTAAACAAGACACACAAGGATAAATATTGCGCTTTTAAGAGGAAACGGCCGTCATTCATTAACCCGGCAAGAATCTTTTCTAATAGAACTGATGTTTGCTACTTCTCCTGGAGAAGTCTTAATATCATGGTCTTTTTCAAAAAAGGGATGTTAAAAACATATCTTATCTTCACCCTCCCCTTGTTAATTTCTAGGACTGTCCCTAATAACTATCTGTGACTATCTAGACTAGCTCCTAATCATAATTTCTTTGATACAATATACCTAGTGATAATGTACTAAAACACAAATTGTAGTACAGTCAAACCTGTCTGATATAAACACCTTTGTTTAGTGAACACCACTTCAAGACACATTTTACAATGACTCCTGAAAATCTCCTTTCTGTTATGAACACCTACCGGCGACAGTGAACACTTGAATGGTTTCATAGGTATTCACTTTATACAGGTTTTACTGTACTAGCCTAGTGTCTACCACCTATAACATTTACTTCCAAGTATCTACTGCAGCAAACTGTATGTATCCTAGACCTGACATTTCTAGTAATTTTGCGATATCAAAATCCTGATAAAACCCAGCAATCATGGTTGTTATCAGCGCTCTGATACTATGTTTGAAATGCTTCAGTGAAAGTTTAGTATTTTGTTTATAAAAGTTTATAAAAATAAAACCAGGAACTCTAGAAATAAATATTTTTTCAGGAAGTCTTGAAATAACTTCTTGGTATAATTTTAGATTTGGGGTATCTCAAACATTTCATAATGCATAAGGAATACTCAACTAACTTCAGTTCTCACTATCACAATGTCATTGCCACATTTCCTCAAAGTGTCATACTGATGTCACATTTCCTCAATGTGTCTAATATATTGGTTATCATATCATTCTCAAATGATGTCATGTTTCACTATACTCATTTGATGTCACATTTACTCAACTCTATTGATGCCAGGCGTATGATACAGATCTTATGTCAGGTCTCACAACAAATTATAATTCAACCTGACAATATTCACACAGGGTGCATTTTTAAGGTAAAATAGGTGGTACCCAAGTGTGGTAAAACAACAGAACACAAGGAGCAAACAGAGCAAAGAAGTCTTGAGATAAGATTAGAGGTCCATGCCTTATAAAATGTTTATTTAAGAGAGTAACATTGCTATATACAAAAAACTCTATTACCATGGGCTAACACTAAGTGAGAGAGAGGAACACATCTATGGTAATGGTCGGATTGAGGTCGCGCCACATTCAGCCAGTTCTTTATCAATTTAAAATTTGTGGCAGTTTATATTATAAAACAAGGCATTAACATGCAAAATGTCACCACCAGCCATTTGTTACAGATGCCAAACTCCAAACACCGAATCCCAGACACTGAACACCATGCACAAAAAGTTGGGAGACTATAACAACAATATGTCACTACTTGTGATGGAGACATAAAAATCAATGTTAATAGTTTTGCTATCATAAAAATATGTGCATGTTTTCATTTAGAATTTAATCCATTGTTTTGTTAATCTGCATAATTTTCCCAATCAAGTGAGAAAACTTCAATTATTGATTTATAACATAAGGTCACAGAGTTATAGCAGTTGTAGATACATAATGGTGTATTGATTGGTATTAATATTGAAATGGATTAAAATTTGCATTTGATTAATACTGTAATTTTTTAATGTTACTTTTGTGTAACGCAAATATAGTCTCAAATGAACCATTCATTCTGTCACCCAATTTAATAGCGGTTATTCATTTTTTCTTCCCAAGATCCAAACAAACATTTTTGTATGCTTTTACATTACAGTGAAAACTGTATATATCTGAACACCTCTCTAATACCCCAAACACCTCTCAATGTGAACACTTTAATCAGACCCACCCATTTTAAATCTGCCGTAGACTTCTATGGTAAAAAACCTTGAAATGTGAACACTTGTCGATCTAAACACTTTAGACCAGTCTCAGTAGCATTCAGATTATACAGGTTTTATCATTCATGTAATTTTTTAAATGTTAAGGTTCAAATTGTATTCTATTCAAATTATATCACTGTTATATATCTACTTTAAATGGGCTTATTAGCCTTTTGCGGATTATTGATGTAGATGTAGATGAATTGCATGTTTTCTTTCAGCAACGTAACCTGTCTGTGTGTAATGTTATATTTATTGTATTCCCTGGATGACCCCTCTCTATCACCTTAAAAGATAGATGTTAAAAACAAAAAACCAAGGCTAATATGATTGTCACGAGCTGTTGATAAACATTATTAGAATCAATAAAATAAGCGTGATCTGTTTTACCAATAGCACCTTGAGAACATCCAGTTACCATAACAACTGAAGAAATATGTTTGTAGAATTACAGAAATAAATTGGTGTTTATAAGACATACTGTTTATAGATGAGTGTATACTGCTTAAAGATTACCTATATTTATTCATCTACAAATCACAACCATTGCAAGAGGCTAAGCACCCTATCCTAGATTTCTGCCAAGATATCATAAAATATATTCTGATATCTACAGCTCCTTCTCTTTCATTAAGTTTTTGCATTGCTAAGATAGGGACTGACAGATCTGATAGAATGCATAAAATACATTCATAAAACAAGGCATTTACATCAAAATGTCACCACATGCCATTTGTTACAGACACCTAATGGAAAATGCCAAACACAAATTACCTAATACCAACCACCGCCACAAAAAAGTTGGAGACTATAACAATATGTCAACACTTGTGGTGGTGACATAAAATGTTATTCATAAAATACATCCTTCACTAGTAATACCATCACTCTGATACAAGTTGCCCCACACAGTGGGACCATCTTATTTTATGCAAATCATCATTATTTTATACAACTATTCTCATTTTATGACTGTTCTGAAAGCAGCACTGCCTAAAAAAATTGTTCAACATTTTCACCTTTCATTTTAAAAGAATTTAAGAGAACTATGCATAATAATTGCAAAATGCTGGATAACATACCTAATGTCAGCAACTTAAAACAAAATGGTTCTATGTACGTGTATAAATCCAATTAATACTGACAATATTTTAACTTGAAACACAAAATATCCTGTCGCGAAATATCTGCTGTATTATGAAGAAAATTGTCTTATTTCCAAGTATGATTCAATCCATTCAGATACATGAAGGTAGATTTTGATGCGTTCTACTTATATAATGCAGTTGTCCTCTAGCTTTGAGAGTATGTGCCTCCGTACACAAAATGATCCGAGATATGAGAATCTATACATTCATAGTAAACCTCTGGTATTTAGTTATGATGCTCAAGTATATCTACTTAACACAAAACATAAATATGATCGATGAATTGGTATTCTGCCATGTGTTTGAGTCTTGCTATCTCCACACAATTTCGCAGAATCTAGGATATTCACAAACCGACCTCTAATTCACAACTATTTCAAAACTTCAATTTTGTTTTCAAGCTTATGGTCCCATATAGACATAATGTACTGGTACAATGGCCCAATGACAATTTGTAAAACATAAAACTGCACTATTGTATTATTTCATGTTATTTGCTTATTATATTTTTATCACGCAAAGGAAATGATGTAGATTTATCCTTAAAGCTCAATAAGGACAGCTCTAACATGAACTATATTTCTTAAAATAAAACCCCTTTGTCAGAATCAATAATTTCCTACAGATTCAATGTTTTCCAGAGATATATTATTCGAATATCCTTTACTGTTTTATATGTGCTCATAACCAACACTGTAAATGAGGCACTTACATGCAAAATATCACCACCTGCCATTTGTAACAGACTATGAACACTATTATAGACACCAAACACCACCTGGCGAATACCAGCCACAAAAATGTTGGAGACTTCAAGTAGCAAAAGTGTGACTTAGCTAAGATCCTGAAGTTACCCCCTCCCATTCATCCTAACCATTAGTATTTAGAATTCTTGAATTTACGATTTTTTGTGTTATATGAAGTAGGGAGAGAAACACACCTTCTTGATAAGAGAACCTGGCTATAAATCCTATCAAGGCTTCGATTAGAGGCGCAAACTACTGACGCCTTCACAGCCCAGGACTGAAGTACATCCTCATTCGTAACATGCCAAACATCTTTGCATTTTATCACTTGGTCAAGAGATTGATATGTTTTCAATATTTGGAAAAAATCAGGCAAAAACTTAAGATATGACGTAAGTGTAATTCACACATGATACATTTTGTTGCTAATTATACCGAGAATTGCCCCAAAATAAACTCATTGTTGATATTATTATGGTGATAAATGTGAACTTCAACTATCTGAAAGTTTTTCTAAAATTATTGGAATAATCTTTGGTAAGTGTGAATGTCAGACGTAGACTTGCGAGATAAACATGAATAAAGTAATAAATGGCTAGACTTCAACTTCACTCACTATGGGTTCATTTTTCAAAACAGACCTTTAACTAATGCATGTTCGTTCTGTGTAAGGCCATGCTTGAATGCATCTACATTTCTGGTACTATTGACAAACTCTTTGAGAAATATGTAAGGTAGTACTGAATCTCTGATCATTCCACTTACATTCTTATATCTAATATATTTGCTTAAGTCGCCATGGTTGGCTGGTTATTACCCTGTGCGCCCTGATCTAAGACTAAACTGACAATTTTGAGCCTTTTTTGATGAATGCTGCACGTGGCACTGTTATCCACATATTCACATTTTGCATAAGAGACATTGACCCTTTTTCTCATTACCTCTGTCGCTTGTGAGGTGGTCAGTTTACCAAACAAAGCAAATACAATTATACAAATTCAAACGTGAATGTGATTTCTATAAAATGCATGAATCAAAATAGCCCCATACAATTCTCCCAATTTATGGTACATATTTTATGAATGGTCAACTTTACAATGAAACAAAACAAACAAACAAATTTTCTTTTACTTCCTGAAAAGTCAACATTTCCTGTTACAACCCAGCTTGTTTTCTTAAACATGAAACATGGAAAAGTGCTTTAAATACTAAAATTCTCAAATGCTACGAAGTACGAGTAAACAGAAGCTTACCTTCACTGTGCTAATCCAAAATTGATAATACTCCAACTGACCAAGAAACAAACAATTTCAAAATCCAGGTGTTCAATACATGTCAACTTGGAAGTGATGCAAATAAATCATCCTGCAAAGCTGATATTACAGGAACTTGTGTATGAATCACACATGTATTAGAGGACTAAGGCTATGAAATCTTAAGATAAGATACGTACTGCATAACAATTAGGTAAACAATAGCATAGCAGGAATAAATTAGTACACTAGAGATTGGGATCAGTTCATTTACATCATTATTTATCTTTTCTAAATTATTACCACAACTCGGAGAATTTCGTATGCAAACATGAATAGACCATTTCATTGTTGTTTGTCTGTTTGTTTATTTGCTTGCTACTGATGACTTGCTTGTTTGGTGAGGTCATTTGGGAACACAATCAAGTAAATAAATGTCCCTTATCAATACAAAAAAAAGTAAAAGTATGATAATGATGGTCTAATTCAAAAGTTTCTTAGAATGACTCACCTTAATTGAGACCATTCATGACTATAGCATTTTCTCTCAATCTCATGTTCATGGCTATATCCAGGTATAGGACTTTCATTCCTTTTTGATATAGGACTATAATTCCTCGGACGCACGGGGACGGGATTAGAGTAACTTCTATCCCTTGTAATAGGACTAAAATTCCCATCATCCCTTTGCTGACTATTGCGCTCTAATTCTAAACCTCTGATTCGAGCAAACTGAGGATTTGTAATCTGAAGATCGGGACTACTTTTCCTTTTTATCCATATGGGACTTTGTTTCCCTGTAGATCCTGCTTTTGATGCTTTTGATCCAATATAAACTATTTTATCCATGTCTGAATTATCACTGGTGGCAGCGCTCCTTATTGGATGATCCGAATTCTCATTTTTGTCTTTATTTACTGTGCTGCTAGTTCCCGTTTCAAAGGCATAACTTTTATTCCCAACACAGTTTTCAGTGTAATTAGTCCTCTGTGGTTGTCCACTACTATTGTTGCTTATTTCTGAACCATATTTCATTGAACAATCAGTTCTTTTAGTCCCTGTATTAAAATCAGGAGTTGCAGTCCTCATATGATTAATATTGTCATCATCTATACCATAGAACATATTGCTTACTGTCTGACTTATCATCCTTCGATTCTGTTCAACAGGACCATAATTACTATAAACTTGATTGTTATAACTAGAATTTCTATCTTGAAAATGGATGGTATTTCTTCTTTGAGATACCGGAGAACTTGTACTTTTAGTCAGATTCAATTGAGGACCTCTTATGCTAGGACTAGAATTCCTTCTATCCATGGGATGTTTGTCCCTCAGTACATATGGGCCACTCATTATTCCTGTGTTCAGATCAGTGTCTTTGTAGCAAGGCTAATAAATCTTGTTAGTATTGTTCAAATTATCGTCAACACAAAATAATCCATATTCCCTGAGTAATTTTAAATCCATTGTCTTTTAAACTCCATCTTCCGATCATACGCCTCGAAATTGAACCCAATTTCTAGAATATTGGGATAACATCTTATGTGTTACTCTAAATCTTAAAATCCTTGTATCACGTATCACGATTCTTGTGAATCTGCATGTAAAACATGAAGTAAATCCTGGAGTGTTTGATCATCATTGTGAACACAGTGTATGAATTTGGTCAAGTTTGGTCCGCACACATTTTGATCCAAGCCAATTTTCGTTCTGTCAACAATGAAACCGAACCTTTCACCAAACAATTCAAATATTGTGGCTTTTAATCACGACTCTCATTTTAGGCTTATTTGGTGTTAATTATTAAAAATGTTCCGAAGTGTTATGTGTTACATGGAAGCAGCCTATTCCTCTATACGTTTACTCGATACACACACCGGGCTATATATATATATAGAGTCTATAGAATTTGGCACCTTTAATATAGGAAATCCTTAAAGTGAAAATTTACCTCTATAATAAATATGTAAACAGGAGAAATATGTAACATAATACTTACTCTAAGGGCACTCACACCATTTCTATGTGGGCAAACAATAAAATATGGAATTCCTCACAGCCTGGGATTATATCCAGGTTATGACAAAGATACTTTTTGCACCTAAAGTCCTCAAAAGCTGGACCATGGGGAAGCATAAAATCCACATTAATCCAAGGATATACTGTTTATTCAATAATGAGCATAAAAAATCAAAACATTGATTTTGGAAAGCGAATCCAAATGCACTATGTCAACTTTTTATTTGGCAAAATGTTCATTTTGACCTAATTTTCATTTCTAGTAACACTGAGGCTCATTTTCAACATCGCACTATCATTTTTGGGAAAAATAAAAATCTGATATTTTTATTATACACTATTATTACTGTACTTTGAATATGTTTACTACTATTCCTTTTTGTGAAAACATATATTCGACCATGGGTTATTTTTTCTGGAAGTATAATTTTGGCTGATTTTCATTTATTTTTAACAATTAACTCACTCATTTCCTTTTAAAATTTGAATGAAGTGTTTACTTTTCTTGCATTTTTATATAATTTGGAGTATCATCGTCACATTCATCAACTTTATTCCTTGCTAATTTCACTATTTTCTACTTTATTTTACATTCTAAAACATGACCATCGCAATTTTATTCACAGGTGGTTAACGTAGTACGTAGGTGTGCTTTACTTTCACTTGAGCTGTCACTCTCTGTGGTGTTGTCAACAAACACTGCAATGTTTTCATATACCTGTCAACTTGATCCAGAGTCAAATATAAGTACACAATCTCGATCCAATTTCACACTTTCTTTTTAAAAATTACTAATAAAGACTCCGAATGTTTATTCAGTAGTCAGTTTAGGAATTCATCAAGAATTTATAAGAATGATACAATAGGGTTTATGTTTTGTCTGACTTTCTGCGGAATGTAATGGCAACAGACGTTAAGGGATTAACTTGGATTAGCCAAATATGTTCCTTAATAAGTACAAAGATCATCGTCGTCCAGGTTCTATGTTTTGCACAGTGGGGGAATAAAGTCCCTGGTTAGATCCTGTTTGGGTGCATTTTTTCATATCGAGGGTTTCAAGCAAAAAAGTACTAAGTGCACTTTTGTTACTTTTGAGAAAATCAAGTTTAAAGATTCAAATACCTCTGTTAAATCAGCAATTTGTTAAATAGTTTTGATGTTTACCCACAGTATAGGTACAAATACTATCCTTGAGATGAACTAATGCAATATTCTTTGAGATTATTATTTTAATAGATATTACCAAATTAGTAACTGGTATCTTTTTGCATGTGCAACAATTTTTCATTTTCCAGTGCAATAAAATACTAATTGCAATATAGTACTATTTTGCAGGAACTGAATTATAAATTGTCAACACTATTATCAAACAAAAAGTACTATTTGAATATGATCTCAAAACTAAATGCTTTATTTATATGTTTTGCTACAAATAAATGCCAATTCAAATAAAAGTCATCATAATTTTAGATCGATAATGCCCTAATATAATGTTTTAAGCACCAGTTTTATCAAAATCACTTGGTGAACGTCAATTGTCTTTTGTTTTGACCTCCACTTCAGAGCCCGGAAATTTAGAAATGAGTAAGCATTGAATCTATAATTGGCCAACTGTAAAATTAAAGCATTTTACCAGATTTAAGTGCCCCAATTGACAATAACAAATACTTATCCTAAAATACAAGCTGGGGTTCTTAGTCCCTGATCTGATTTTTCAAAGAGCCTTGGATAAAGACTTTGTTGTTGGGCTGTTACATTTTTGGCAATTGGGACTTCACTTAGAAAATGAGGATTAAAGCAAGGATGTATTGACTTGAAATGGGGACATGTACTCTTGACTACAATCATCGGATTTCTAAGCCATCAAAGTCATTCATTGGCTAACATTTTTGTCACCCTGGAGCCTTTATACATGTCACATTCCCTTTTTTCTACCAATTGACAATTGTTTTTATTGCTTAAAATGCATTGACTCCAAAACATTGCGCCATGCATATTTTTAAACCATTGCGGACGTTTACATCTTGTGGGAACCATATTTTCGACATTTTTCAAATTCTATATCTTTTTTTTTATATTTTTACACTTCATCTCTTTTTCGGAGCAGCTCAGGGAATATGTCTGTCTTCATCAGTGTCATGCTCTGTCTCCTAAGGCATCAGGAGCAGAGAGTCTTGTAAGTGCTCCTCACTCCGATTCTCTGGTAAAAATCATGGTTGTCTATGGGAATAATCCCACTTTGGACATTGACAGGAGGTTGAATTTCTTTTCTTTTGAAATATTCAGCTTTTCAGTATATAAGTAGGGAACAGTAATACAGCACTTGCCCCTTTCATTTGCCTACCTCTTCTTGATGTAGTGAGTTTATCTCATTGAAAGTGGTCTCGTCAAAGTGGTATTAAAACAAAAGACTCTCCGGCTGTTCCTCAGAGTACCCAAGCCACTTAATATTCCTCCAATTTATCCCCAGTCATTTCCTTCTTCGAACTTGAGTATATGTTGAGCCCTTCGAAATTAAAGAAATTGTGTATGTATTTCCCTTTCCCTGCAATATGGACAAATACGTTCCCGTTTATGGGAGCATAGACAAATGTTTCCATTTTCGCCAGCTTGAGGTAATCAGAAGATTTGCAAGCGGTGATACCTGCAGCATAGAAGGCAGTCTCCATCCCCTGGAATTCAATCTGCTATTTGTCCATTACTTTGTATGATTGCTCATGCTTTAAATGACTCATCCCTGCTTATATTTATTGCTCATTTGAACGATGATGATAATGATGCTTCTTAATAACATAGCAGTGTTACTTTTTGATGTTCTTTGTTTGGGTTCTCTTTTCTTTAGTTGGACAACCTCTTCTTCTTCACCTGATGATTTATCAATGGATGCTTTTGATGAGTCTGAAGAAGTCATCATTGCATGATTCATAATCTACGCCAGCATCAGAATCATCTCTGTCTTAATCTGGGATAAAGACAGCAAGAGGTTCATTATCTGAATCGTTGAAGCAATTTGTATGTCAAGAGAGATTCATCATCAGTTATATGGAAACCATCATATTCATCTCTCTTTTGAGTTGCTTATACTTATAGTTTTATACATTGGAGTTGATGTCCTGAGTTTTGCAGACATGTTATGATTTGATGAAGGATGGTGGTTGAAGGGCTTTCTTGATGGAGGGTGGAGGTCGGTGTGATACCTTGCTCTGGGATTGCAGTAGGTGCCCTGTCTTGTACAAGGTTACGTTGGGGCTCGAGGTGTTGTCTTGATCGAGAATGGGTGTTGTAGTACTGCCTTGATCTCGGATGGAGGTTAAATTCATGTTATTCCCAAAGACGGATGCTAAGCTGCCTTCATCTATGACGGAAGCTGTGCTTGATCTAGGACAGGTGCTGAAGTTTTACCTTTGTCTAGGATGGGGGTTAAAGTGTTGTTACTTTCCAAAAAGGGAACTGTGTTGTCTTGTTCTAGGATTGGAGCCAGGCTTAGTTTGAATAGGGGTATGTGCTTTAGAGTTGTCTTGTGCCATAAACATTGTGGAAATCATGTTCTGTGTCGTTAAAGGTATTTTGGTGCCAGAATTTCATTGTCATTTTCAAATTCTCAAATAACTTCAAAGCAATTTTGCTAAACAGAAATGTTAATAAGCTCACATAGACTCTCCTCAAGGCTAGACAATATTTCACAGATGAGTCATATCCATTGAAATTTACATTATTTTGACTGTCTAATATATTAATTGGTGCATGCAAAAAAGTACTATATTATTTATTATTTTCTATTAGGGTCCAGACACACAACCCATTATGTATCTATGTCTTTTGAATTTACCCTCTATATATTTGTACTATTTGTAAAACCAGGCTGGATCACTCATTTACTTCTAAAAGGACTAAATTTACTTATCTATTTAATGAATATGGAAGTGCAAAAACGTAACAAAATGATTATAGTATTTTTTTGCACACTCAAATTTCATTTGATATTTTTTTGCACGGAGTTTTTTGTTCAAAATCACTTAGTACTATATGTTTCTGTTTGTTATCTCGAGTTATATAATACATATGACTAAGTCAACTAGATTAAATGAAAGCCATATTATTACACTATATCCTGGTATAAATAACTCTATTTTGATAAAAAATGCACTTAGTACTTTTTTGCTTGAAACCCTCGATATGTTAAAGTCATTTCCAATGCTTGTTATGATAATGTCTTCACTTTATATAAGGCAAGGTAAGGTGCTGATAAGGGTTTGAATCAATAAAAGAAACATTATAAGGTCATTTCAATTATTTTTGCACCTGTATGGAAGATAAAGAACACACACATGGTTACTTATGTAATGTCATGCCTCTACAGCATCGACTTTGTTCCCTTCAAATGATACCAATATTATGTTACATCAATCAATCAGTTGCAACATTGAGTAATAGATGGCAGTACTGTTTTGGTCATCCCAGATAGCATTAAACTATATATAAGAAACTGACAAATACCTGGTAAGTTAAGTAGTTAAATAGACAAATCTATGAAAATCTTAAAAGATTTTGTTTGAGATCACAAATATATATAGCAAATGGTTTATTTTCTAGTCACCCTCTCACCTGTAGTCCAATGATCATTAATCAAAACTGGGACTTTGATTTGATTTCATATTACAGAAAAAATTCTGACTTAACTTACTGTTAATGTTTCTTGAAAATCATGAAAATAATCCATTGCAGTTTTCATTTTGCCTTGTATTTTCTTCTTACAACTCATGCTGCAATAAGGCTAATGCATAATACACTTAATGGACAAACAATGTGAAAACGTAAAATACACCTGTGATTA